GGCTGCATCATGTTATGGGTATGCTTGTAATCGATAAGGACTGGGGAGTTTTTCAGGATAAAAAAGAAATGGATTGGAGATAAGCAAACGCAAAATCCTAGAAAAAAATCTGGTTTAGTCTGCTTTCCACCAGACACTGGGAGATGAATTCACCTTTCAGCAGGACAAAAACCTAAAACACAAGGCCGAATCTTGCTTACCAAGAAGACCGAGTTACAGTTTTGACTTAAATCTACTTGAAAATCTATGGCAAGACCTGAAAATAGTTGTCTAGCAATGATCAACAGCTTGAAGAATTTTTGAAAGAATAATGTGCAAATGTTGCACAATCCAGGTGTGGAAAGCTCTTAGAGACTTACCCAGAAAGACTCATAGCTGTAATCTCTGCCAAAGGTGCTTCTATAAAGTATTGACTCAGGAGTGTGAATACTTATGTAAATTAGATATTTCTGTATTTCATTTTCAATAAATTTGCAAAAATTTCTAAAAACATGTTTTCACTTTGTCATTGTGGGGTATTGTGTGCAGATGGGTGATAAAAACAATCAATTTAATCAATTTTGAATTCAGGCTGTAACACAACAGAATATGGAATAAGTCAAGGGGTATGAATACTTTCTATAGATAGGTAGTGGTGTAATAATGTCATATGATGTACTGTTTTATATTTAGTTTTATATGTAATGTAAGTGCTTTAATATGTTTGGACCCCAGGAAGAGTCAGCTAATGGGGATCCCTAATAAATACAAATACAAAGTGTACAAAACATTAGGAACACATTCCTGATATTGTGTTGCAACCCCTTTTGCCCTCAGAACAGCCTCAATTTGTGGGGCATGGACTACAAGATGTCGAAAGCGTTCCACAGGGATGATGGCAGATGTTGACTCCTATGCTTCCCACAGTTGGGTCAAGTTGGCTGGACCATTCTTGATACACACGGGAAACTGTTAAGCATGAAAAACCCAGCAGCGGTGCAGTTCTTTACACACTCAAACCGGTGCGCCTGGCACCTACTACTATACCCCATTCAAAGGCACTTAAATATGTTGTCTTGCCCATTCACCTTCTGAATGGCACACATACAGTCGTGGTCAAAAGTTTTGAGAATGACACAAATCCTAATTTTCACAAAGTCTGCTGCCTCAGTTTTGATGATGGCAATTTGCATATACTCCAGAATGTCATGAAGAGGGATCAGATGAATTGCAATTAATTGCAAAGTCCCTCTTTGCCATGAAAATGAACTTAATCCCCAAAAAGCATATCCACTGCATTTCAGCCCTGCCACAAAAGGACCAGCTGCCATCACATAATTTATTATCTCATTAACACAGGTGAGAGTGTTGACGAGGACAAGGCTGGAGATCACTATGTCATGCTGATTGAATTAGAATAACAGACTGGAAGCTTCAAAAGGAGGGTGGTGCTTGAAATCATTGTTCTTCCTCTGTTAACCATGGTTACCTGCAAGGAAACACATGCCGTCATCATTGCTTTGCACAAAAAGGGCTTCACAGGCAAGGATATTGCTGCTAGTAAGATTGCACCTAAATCAACCATTTATCGGATCATCAATAACTTCAAGAAGAGAGGTTCAATTGTTGTGAAGAAGGCGTCAGGGCGCCCAAGAAAGTCCAGCAAGCGCCAGGACCGTCTCCTAAAGTTGATTCAGCTGCGGGATCGGGGCACCACCAGTGCAGAGCTTGCTCAGGAATGGCAGCAGGCAGGTGTGAGTGCATCTGCACACACAGTGAGGTGAAGACTTTTGGAGGATGGCCTGGTGTCAAGAAGGGCAGAAAAGAAGCCACTTCTCTCCAGGAAAAACATCAGGGACAGACTGATATTCTGCAAAAGGTACAGGGATTGGACTGCTGAGGACTGGGATAAAGTCATATTTTCTCTGATGAATCCCCTATCCAATTGTGTGGGGCATCCGGAAAACACCTTGTCCGGAGAAGATAAGGTGAGCGCTACCATCAGTCCTGTGTCATGCCAACAGTAAAGCATCCTGAGACCATTCATGTGTGGGGTTGCTTCTCAGCCATGGAAGTGGGCTCACTCACTATTTTGCCTAAGAACACAGCCATGAATAAAGAATGGTACCAACACATCCTCCGAGAGCAACTTCTCCCAACCATCCAAGAACAGTTTGGTGACGACCAATGCCTTTTCCAGCATGATGGAGCACCTTGCCATAAGGCAAAAGTGATAACTAAGTGGCTCGGGGAACAAAACATCAACATTTTGGGTCCATGGCCAGGAAACTCCCCAGACCTTAATCCCATTGAGAAGTTGTGGTCGATCCTCAAGAGGTGGGTGGACAAACAAAAACCCACAAATTCTGACAAACTCCAAGCATTGATTATGCAAGAATGGGCTGCCATCAGTCAGGATGTGGCCCAGAAGTTAATTGACAGCATGCCAGGGCGGATTGCAGAGGTCTTGAAAAAGAAGGGTCAACACTGCAAATATTGACTCTTTGCATAAACGTAATGTAATTGTCAATAAAAGCCTTTGACACTTATGGAATGCTTGTAATTATACTTCAGTATACCATAGTAACATCTGACAAAAATAAAAACACTGAAGCAGCGAACTTTGTGAAGACCAAAACTTTTGACCACGACTGTACACAATCCATGTCTCAATTGTCTCAAGGCTTAAAAATCCTTCTTTAACCTGTCTCCTCCCTTTCATCTACACTGATTGAAGTGGATTTAACAGTTGACATCAATACGGGATAATAGCTTTTCACCTGGATTCACCATTCTATATCATGGAAAGAGCAGGTGTCCTTAATGTTCTGTACACTCAGTGTAAGTACCTGACGATAGACACAAGGAAGCAAATTAGATGTGCAGGACAACAGTATGTTGATGGCCGTAGATTTGTGATTAGTTTGTTAGCATGTTCCTAATGTTTTGTACACTCAGTGTCTATTGTTTATATGTATGTGTTGGACTTTAGCTGAGATTATTCTTTACAATTGTTCCTTGACTAGCACCATTAATTCTCGCTGTCGATAATTCTAATGTTAAAACTTCTAATAGTAACTCTATCCACTGGCGAATTAGGAGAGAGTGAGGTGATTGCCATCTAAGAGCCAACATCTTTTTTTTTGCAGCAGTGCTGCCTTTCAGCAGTAATCATCTCTGATTGATTGAGAGATTCAAGGACCTATTATTGTTAAGTCACATAGTTGATGCAAAGCACTGAATATTTATATTAATACAATTCTAAATTATTTTAGAAACTTTGTCCAAGAAGCATTTAACTGCAGGTCACTCCCGCATCATATGAAGGAATGTGCCTATCTTATTTAGGGGACACAGTAAACAGTTGGGGCCAATTTCATCGTAAAAAGTTTCCTTGGTATTAAATACAGTCTGTGAACAAACTTGAAATAAATTGATTACGGGATGCCAAGGTAATATGTTTCCATATTCTGTTCCAGTTAAAGGGTTGTTCAGATTCAATTAGATCTATGGACCATACTTTTTTAATGGGTAGCTCAGAATATGAGCTTTCCAAAAGTGGTTTATATATTATAGAGATCAGTAATTTATTTATAGATCTCATCATTGGATGGTTTGGTAATTGGGTTTTCCAAGGGACTCCTTAAACCAGCATAGCTGACCTAAATATAGAAAAAAGGAGTTGCCTGGAAATGTGTATATGTCTTACAAATCTTGGTATGTTCTCAAACTATTTCTGTCCATGATATTGGCAAGGGTACGGATTCCACATTTGGGCCATTGGGGGGATGCAAAGCTTAATTCTCTTCAAGAAAAGGCCACTCTAAAATGTGCAGTTTTGTCACACAACACAATGCCACAGATGTCTCAAGTTTAGAGAGAGTGTGCAATTGGTATTCTGAATGCAGGAATGTCCACCAGGGCTGTTGCCAGAGAATTGAATGTTCATTTCTCTCCAATGTCATTTTAGAGAATTTGTAGCTCAGTTGGTAGAGCATGGCGTTTGCATCGCCAGGGTTGTGGGTTCGATTCCCACGGGGGGACAGTATGAAAAATTAAAAAATAATGTATGCACTCACTAACTGTAAGTCGCTCTGGATAAGAGCGTCTGCTAAATGACTAAAATGTCAATCTAAATGGCTAGTTGAGGCTATTGCATTCATATTGTTATGTACTGTATCATACACTATTAAAATGAATATTTGCAACAGTATGAACATGACAATGCTTACATATACTATTTTGAATGATTATTGGATTTGTAAGCAGTGGTGGGAAAAGTACCTAATTGTCATACTTCAGTAAAAGTAAAGATACCTTAATAGAAAATCACTCATGTAAAAGTCAGCTAGTAAAATACTACTTGAGTAAAAGTCTAAAAGTATTTGGTTTTAAATATACTTAAGTATCAAAAGTAAGTTTTTTTTTTACGGATAGCCAGGGGCACACTCCAACACTCATGCATCATTGACAAATGAAGCATGTGTGTTTAGTGAGTCCGCCAGATCAGAGGCAGTAGGGTTGACCAGGGATGTTCTCTTGATAAGTGTGTGAATTGGACCAGTTTCCTGTTCCGTTAAGCATTTAAAATGTAACAAGTACTTTTATCATGGAAAATGTATGGAGTAAAAAGTACATTATTTTCATTAGGAATGTAGTGGAGTAAAAGTAAAAGTTGTCAAAAAATATAAATAATTAAGTACAGATAACACAAAAAAACGACTTAAGTAGTACTTTAAAGTACTTTTTACTTAAGTACTTTACACCACTGTTTAAGTTATTTGACACACACAATCTTTGGTAGAGCATGGCGCTTGTAACGCCAGGGTAGTGGGTTCGATACCCGGGACCACCCATACGTAAAAATGTATGCGCACATGACTGTAAGTCGCTTTGGATAAAAGTGTCTGCTAAATGGCATATTATATTATATCTTCAATTGCAGTTGATTGGTGCAAATTGGCTGGGAAGTTAGCCAATGTCTCCACCATGTGGCTAAAGCAGGGAGATACAGACTGTCGTAGACTCTTTCACACAAGTTTATTCAAGGAATATTCAATATACATGTCAATATATAGTCTCCCCCTTGGGCTGTTTACATCCTGGGTGGTCCCGCTAATCTCCAGCCCTCCATCTTGCCCACCTTGGTGAACATGGCCAGTGTCCCCAGCCCAATACACGCCGTTGTGCCTGTCATTGCACTGTGAGCTGTGTATCATAAAGAAACAAAGACATGTTATTAGTGGAAAAGAAAGAGGATAATCTCTGTGATGCCCCTCTGTATCTCTAGCAAACATCATCTAGCAATGAGAAGACGTTCACTGCCCTACAAAGATCTTATAGCGCTTGATAGATGACAGCAATATGATGGTAACTATGTGGGATGTTAACAAGGGCAGAAGGGCAAATACCACTTTCCCAATAAGAATGCTCATTTTCCTTATCTGTTTCAAAACGTTTGCTCCTGTTTTTTCCTACTGAATCTAACCCAAATCTTCAGCATACTATGTAATATTTAGCCTACTCACTACGAGCTCCAAGAAAGACTCCTGATGCACAGCCTCCGAGGAAATAGTTCACCGGGTCATCAGGAGCATCCCGGGCCTGTGCAGCTAGACAAGTGGTCATTCCAAAGATCGCCCCCAAGGCAGCTGTCGTGAAGGAAAGATCAAACCAATTAAGGCCTGGATTCAATCAGCGTTAGGCCTAACTGGCGATTGCCGACACCCGCATAGCTGATGTTTTGGCAGTGTCTGAAGTGTAACTGCGTTGGAGCTGTCAAATCGGTGAGCAGCTGCATTTGATCATTTTCACGAAGCCACACCCGTCCCGTTCAGAACAAGAAAGTGTAGGCTATATAGAAATAATTACGCTCAAATTGAAAATCATTAAATAAAATAATGAGGATTTCTATCAGCCTAATCGAGGTGTAAATTACATCTCACATTCCAGTGTTTGAACGTGTAAACAAGGCTGCATGGGATTTCTCGCAATGCAACTCCGTGCAGCTAATAGCAATGTTCGCTTTAGGTATAATGACAGGAGCCGCTTGTGGATTTGACAGCTCTAACGCAGTTATACCTCCGACACCGCTAAAGCGGATATAATTGAATAGAGCCCTAAATGAACTTATACTGGCATAAACTCACCTTAACTGTATGTTGTTTGTTAACAAACATCTGATCACAGAAAAAAACCACCATTGAAACACTAAGATCAAACAGACACACTTTCACCATCACTCAAACGACGCAACTGTAGAGACTCTGGTGTTTATTAGGTAAATTGCAGCATTGTGACCTGGGCCAATATCCAGAAAGCTGAGTGCTGATCTAGGATCAGTTTTGCATTTTAGACCATACTGAATAAGATTATATGGACAGATCCTAGATCAGCAGTCCTACTGAGATGCTTTGTGGATATGGGCCCTGGACTAATCCTCTTGTTATTATTATTATTATAAAATGTAGTGTACCGATCTGAGATAACCTTCTAGCTTGAACACTGTTGTCTAGGAGGGGTAGCTAGGTATTCAAGTGTAAACTTGGATACCTTCATGGCAGCAAGCCAGGTGATTATTATCACAGTGTATGAGATTAGAGACATGCATACCCATGGTTACTGTGCCATTTGTGGCTCTCTGAACAGCTTGGATTGCGGAATCAGGCTGGAATGCCACAATGTGATAGGCTGAACCCACCAACCCTGTATGTAAAAAAATAAATACAAAATAGGTTGTTAGAATACTGTGCACTGGGTTAACTAGCTAGCTAACTACCTACTTGCCAACTATTTTGTTTTTGAAAGTCACAAGAATGTTATCTATGATTAGCTTGCTAGCTAACTGGTAAACATCATTCAAAATGCAGAGTTTAATTTACTGCCTTAGCTATACTGCCTGACTGCAGCTAGCTAACCGAACAACATTAGCTGACGTTACATTCGTTGAAAACAACACATTGCTTACTAGTACAGTAAGCTAGCACTAGTTCGTTAGAATGGCAGTTAACTATGCTATGGCTAGTTAGCTTAGTAGCTAGCTAAAGTTAACCGGTTATGGGGTCTAGTGTTACTGTACCGCTCTTTACCGCCAGCTAGCTAACTTCCATAATGTCTTTTTTTTATGTTAGATTTAGATACCTAGAGCTGTGCCCAATTTGGTGGTTATCCATGTTTTCTCGATACAATCCTTCCCTTCTTGCAGATCCCAATAACCCATTTTGGATTTCACATGAAGGACACAGACATTGGAGAAATATCGCGAGATGGAAAAAAGAAGAAGACGATACTTGAAATATTGAAAACTTTATTGATAAACATGTATTAGCTAAACAAACATCTTATGAAGAGTATTTTGTTGACATATGTTTAAAAATAAATAAGTTTAATATATCATTACTTTTTAGATGTGTTAATAGCTACATGTAAAACAACACCACACACTGACAACATGTTTCTACATTTTATGTAAAGCTGTCAACACTACTGTTTCCGGGGCGGAGTTTAATCCACAGGTTACAAAGCGAATCAGTTTCGAAGTTCATTCAAGTTATCCAGCCTTTTATTTCAAAACAGTGCAGATAATGAACGATTATATTGCTCGAGTAATGTTGTTCGTAATTAATCCATTTAATTATATATTGATACATTTCTTTTGAGTTTCAGAGATTAGAATCCCGTAGGAGGATGACGTGTCGGTAGCTGGTTAGCATAACATCATCAACACTTTTTTTCTGGACAAGGAATACTATTTTTTGGTTCAGTTGTTTAACGAGGAACAAACGCTGAAGAAGGTGCAGGTATGGCAGGAATAGTAAACACCAGCCCTCCGGTGAAATGCTTGTTCACGAGCATTCAAGTGATCATTCATTGCTCTCTTCTTTGTCAACAATGTCATTGTCAATGAGTCAATCGTCACGATCAATCTTCTACGGTGAGCTGTTGTAACTTGACTTTAGGTCGTACCATATTCCTCATGTGACATGTCCTCGCCATCACCGGTCCAAATTCGAGAGGCGAACGCACACCTGGTCGCTGTGCACAGGCGGGTAGCAGAGCTGGAGCAGCGGCTCGAGGCAGCGGAGAACACCGTGAGGGAACAAGCAGAGAGTCTCATCAGGAAAGACGAGCAACTGAGGGCTGCTACCCGGGAGATCGCCGAGGCCAAGGATAAGTAAGTGATTGAGGTCTTGTCTCTTCGGGCATTGCCAAAGCTCCCCTTTAATGTCCCCAACCATTGATATTTCATATGTGCATTGTGTGCTCGAGACTGCAGAAGGGTGTGCTTAAAGGTTATCAATCATGTCTCATCTAAATATTTTCTCTAGGGAGATTTACTACCTCCACGAGAAGCTGTGCAAATCAGAGGAGACCATCCAGAGGTTTCAGAACATGGTCAAGGAGAAGGATGCTATGATAGGACAGTTGCAACATCGCTGCCAGCTCCTGGACAACATCTGCAAGAGCAGGCCTTTACTAGACAGTATGCTGTCCCATATGGCTGAGGCAGAAAGACTTGGGCCAGTGTTGGGGATGGGTGAACCCACAACCAATACATCCCTCACAGACGGGGAGTCAAACTGCAGTCCCAACCGCATCTCTAACCACAAAGACTTCTCCCTGAGTGAGGATGACATGGATGACCAGGAGCTGGATGAGATAGTGTTTGGAACAACTGTATAGTAAAAGGCCCCTGAGAAGAGTTACATAGGTTAGAGGTGAAAAGGTTCTAGAAGAGGATAGTACTTGAAGTAGAAGCATGAGTCATTTCAAAACATTATGCATGTCGTGTTACTTTTTTATGCTCTAAGTAGTTCTGTATGTTAAGCAGATGACTAACAACTTAACGTGACGTCACATGAATGTGGGGGAACTGCTCAACACGTTATGAAGCCTTTGATGTAACCAAATAGAGAGAAACGAATCTGCCTTGATTCCATGTCTTAACCAGACAACCAGATGTCTATACGTTTCACATCTGTTCCGGTTGTTTCAACTGCTATATTTTTATACTGTAATATGAAATATTTGGAAATAGTATAAACAGGACCTCTTTATGGTCAGTGTTCAGAAACTCAAATTTTAGAAAGTACATCTGCAGCACATGCAAGGCAAAGTTCCAATATATCCCATGCTTTGTCTATGTAGTATACACGTTTTAGTCATAATTTTTTTTAAAGTGACAATTCAGTTTAAAGTGCTTGAGATTATTTTCAGGGATTGTAGTTACTCCCTTGTAAACATGACACATTTAATGGTAAATCTAAGACATACATTAGCCTCTTATTGGCGTCAATATTTGCTTCAGTGAAGCAAGTCTATGCAACGTTGAAGTTTGCTTCATTCTTACAGTTCACTCATTCTTACATTACATAAGATGCTACATAGATGTCACATTCCAGTAGGGTCAGAAGCAAAGGTTATTATTATTTTTTAATAGTGGAAGTTCAATTGAGTACAGGCTTAACTGAAAGAACATTAAGACTGAATGCAACATCTAAACCCCCTCCGGAGGAAAGGAGTTCCAACCTCAAGGTTTTTATAGGTGGTGGATGGTTGTCAAACTGTTGCTGAAAAACAGCAAGTATGAGAACAAGGGTAAGTTGACATAAATACATCCCAAGATTTACACTCATTGGTTGAGAGAGAGAGGACAGTGATAAGAGTGAGCCCATATGTTAAATGGAAAGCGTGTGGAATGTGCATTATTGTGCCACGCTTATAGGCTGTAAGGTAAATGACATTCTGCACATAGCTAATAGGAAAGAGAAACAAGACGCTATGCTGTTTGTATTCTATGCCCGTAGAATAGAAAACAAAATGATTTATGCTTACTGGATGAAGTTAAACAAGCATTCAGACCAGCCTTCCTGATTGAACCTCGTAAACTACATTTTTAGAAGTAAAACAAATATTTGACATCACAACCATGCCTTGTTGTGCTCTCTTTATACTGTACTGTTTTGCTAAATCATTATAGAAGCAATATATGTGTTGGGTTAAATCATCAGGTGGCTAAAATAATGTTATGTCTGCTTTGTCTTTCAGTACAACTGCATGATTGTGCTGCTTAAACTGTTCCTCTTGTGATCACTGTACCTTTAGCATGGGGACAGTTGTATATTGCCTCTGAACTGTCAAACGTGTGTTGCTCGCTCTGTTCATGTCCTAGTCAATGAAGAAATGAATGAGAAAATAGGTATTTTGGTTCAATGAGGAATGCTTTAACAGATCAGTCTGCCACATGAATAAATTATTCATACACCATTTACTTTGAAAAAGAGAACGTTAATAGCTTGGCAGTGTGACAAAGAAATAAAATACTTCCATCTTTGTAGAACATACCCCACTATTGAAGACATGCAGGCACAGGGAATGGTGCCTGACAAAGGCTATGGTGGCCATTGCCCCTGTGGGACCCATTTTGAGAACATTATCCAGACGGAGACGCATACATTAGAAGTTATGCTAGGGAAGTTCAGATAACTGCATATGTGTCTTTAGCAGTTGAGGCAGGAATGCAACCCTATGTTTTACCCCAGAATAGTAATGTACTGAGATGTCATTGTATATTCTGTGAAGAATTGTTGTCCATACTGGGCATAAAGGGAAATAACATTTAACAAAGAACTGTTGAAAGTACATCGTAATCTTTATTAATCTCAATACAAAATAACATTCATAACAAGTTTGACCAATGTGACTATTCCCCCCCCCCCCAAAATCAGATCCAATCATTCCTTGCTTTGGGCAGAGGTCATTTTGGCCAGGTTTTATAATTGCTGCAGTACCAGCTTCCCCCTGCCAATGCAGTTGTAGAAGCCTTTAGTGCCGTCAGGGCCAAGCGGCTGGCGCAACACCTCCACCACGCCCAGTGGCCTCTTGGGGAGGCCAGGCGAGAGGGGCCCACCTTTGTCAGGAAAAAAGGCCTGGGCGGCAGTCTTTCGACGCTGGACCCAGGGGCTCCCCACAAAGCCCAAACTTTCCTGGGAATAGTCCCCAGAGCACTTGCTCCTGCTGCCAAAGCTTCCATTGCCACTGGATACAGGGCTGCTGCTGCTGATCTCTGGGGCAGCCAGCGGGGATGGAGTGTGGCCACTGGGGAACAGCTTGCGGGGCAGGAGGGGGCTCCCCACAGGGCTACACACTGGGTTCTTGTAGGGGTCTGAGCGGAAGGAGGACACCCGGGGGATGGCCAGGGGGCTGCCGTACAGAGCCTGAGGCCGTGTGACCCTGCGGTTGGGCCTGGGCGAGGCTGGGGCGAAGTCAGACTCCGACGAGCTGTAGAGGGCAGAGTCCTCCAGGGAGTAGCCCGGGTAGCGCCTGCCCTTGCGGTTGGGCTTCCTCGAGCACACACTCTCGATGCCGTCCTCAGACTCTTCCTCTGTGCGGTCCTGGCTGCTCCTTGGCTTCCTGGTGCCCCTGCTGCCTAGGAGCACCACACGTACCGCCCTGTTCCCCTGCAGCTGCTCCTCAGCCTGCAGGGCCTCATAGGCCCTCCGTGCCCCCTCCAGGTACTCATACTCCACCACGGCACACACCTTACGCCCCAGCTCCATGTGCTTCTTGGCATACCTCTTGAGCTCGGCAGGGATCTCCTTTCCTGGGCGCAGGATACGGAGGGAAGTGATGGTGCCGTGGCAGCCAAATAGTCTCATGGCTGTCTCCATCAGGCCCTGGTGCTCCACCCCCGGGGCTACGCGCTCCTCATCGTTGTCCTCTCCTCCCAGGAGATTCCAGGCCAGCAGCAGCTTGCTGGTGGGGACACACAGTAGCCAGTCGGGCACTGGGTCCCTCCGTCGCACCTTGGTTCCCTCCTCGTTGACTTCCAGCTGCTGCGTGGTGCGAGCCGCAGCCAGAGTGGTTCGCCAGTCACGTGTGAGCTCCCTGATCTACGACACAGAATGTTTAGGTTAGTAGTTTAATGGTTATACTTGTTACCAAAATACATGTCAGTGAAGGCCAAAGCTGTGAGCAGGGTAGATTTCAATAACAAAGTCATCTATAAATCCTACCTTTTTGAATGAAGTTAGTAACTTCACACTGACATAGCCCATCTTGTTCCTCTGAACATGTTTCAGTAAAAAGGCATCTTCAGACAGGCTCTCATTGGTAAGATAGTTTTCTAGCCGAGCTGCAATTTTCTGTTTCAGGTCTGCAACAGGGGTACTCCAGCCTTCATCCTGAATACAATCCTCTTCTTCAAACACATCAGTCAACTCTGTGGAGCTCCTGCAGAACCATTGATAAACATTCATAAGTTGATATAAACATTACGTGTATTTTGACATTGAGTAAAGCGCGGACGACGTCTTGAATACACATGCTACACTTGAACAAGAAAATAACAGCCTATATTTCTGATCATGTTTTTTATTTATAATGACCTAGTTGGTCCCTGCAAATCTGAAAAATTCATTTTAAAACATGACATTTAAATTGATTATCAGATATTACAGTAATCATCTCTAACATGGACTCTTACCCATCCAAACTATCATATGTTCTGTCCTCCGTGTAAGACCCAAGCCGCTTTGAATCTGGGGACAGCTGATAAATTTGCAACCCACATCGGAAGACGTCCGCAGTTGGTGAAGACATGTTGTTAGACTGAAACGAATTTTTGTATCGATAAACTCAGATTATTTGTAGCCTACATGTGTGTTGAGCATGTTCATAGCTTACTTTCTATGTAACCATTACCTGAAGTTACAAAGCAAAATTAGCCTACCTGATATCCTCTTTGCCCGACGTTTCCCCATTCTCCACCTCTCATGTTGACATGGAATATTTTTAGAAATTCTAATTTCAGGTGTCCCTTACGTCACAATTGAGATAACTTGACCATTGGATAATGACATGTTTGATGGATGCAATCAAGGAAAATCAGGTGTTTACATTTTGTATTCTACACTACCATCGCTTATACCGTTGTGAGAGCAGTTTTCCCTTGTTTTTGAAGGCCACACATTAAGGCCTATAATTAGGCCTAAATCGAATTTTCATATAAGAGTTGTTCATGGTACCTTATCTGTGTCACTGTGGCTGCGTTTAGACAGGCAGCCCAATTCTGATAATTTTTCCACTAATTGGTATTTTGACCAATCACATCAGATCTTGTTACATCAGCTCTTTTTCGGAGTTTATCTGATTGGTACGGAGCCCCTTAGGAGTCATGGTGGAGAGAGAAAACTGCCAGACTAACCCGTTCCTTGTTTGTGTTTTTAAATCAATTCCCCTGTTGTTTTTTTTCAGTTCCCTCTGATCTTTTATTCATTTCTACGTTTAAAAAAAATTAATTCCCTCAATTTTAATAATCCTTGGAATATTCGTGTTTTTCCATTCATTGTGTCTGCCTACACCCTTCGCCAGAAAACATGCTGCTGATGGAACGATAGTCTGAGATCGATTAAAACAGGTAAACGATTTATAATTCATATGTAGTTAGCTGGTAGTGTAAGCAGTTTACAGTGTTTTGGTGTTAACTGTCTTGTTCGTTTGCTGTGTAACAATTTAAGCAACCAGGCAATTTAAGCAACTGATGGCTATATGCTTTATTGCTATGACAATACGTTCACCTGGACATTAGCTGATTGCCAGGCTAGGATACGTAGATAGCTAGCGAGCTTTTAATAGATAGCTAGTTAACCAGAGGCTGCCCCTCTCCATCCTCTGGAGTATAGGCTAGCTAGAATGGAGCAGAGCCAGGAATTCCAGCGCTTTTTGAAAGCTCAAGGAGGGTTTGATGAGGATCTCGTACAGACCATCATCAATGAAAAGGTCATAGGCCTATGTGATGTAGTTAACGTTTAGGAGGTTCATAATAAAATAGTTATAGCGCAAGGATGAGAACGCATCATTGACATTGCACCTGTTAACACCGAAGCCACCAGTCCTATACATTATTCCTTTCTGCCTGTGACAATTAAACAATCATGAACACATCAAGGCGTTTTCCTGATGCCATGTTTTACTGGACGATCAAATCAAGATGTCACTATAGCAAGCACATTTAGTTCCGGGTGGGGAAAGTTGCGTTCTGTGCATGGTTCTCTGCATGGTTGTGCTCTGTATTTACAAATCACTAATCGCATAATGTAGTTGACAGTACGGTAAGGAGCAGGCAAAATAGACTTTCCAATAACATGAACCATTTTCATGTTGGTGTTATTTCATGGTGTAATCTCGAAATTATTCAGCAGATGACGCTGTTCATGTTGTCCATGTGGCATGAATCCGAGTTTGCACATAGTGGCTTTAGTTTGCATCATAAACATGCATAATTCAGTTATGACAGCTAGCGAGGGTCCTTACTTTTCAGGTTATTGAAATTACTAAGCCTAAAAGTATACTTAAGGAGAACGCCGTTCTTAGAGCTCACATCCACAGAGTCTGGAGTCGGCTATCATGTTAACTATAACGTCAGCCATATCAGCCATGGTTCTGAAAAGGGAGTAAAAAAAGGCAGTAAATGAACAGATAAAATCTGAAGACCTCTTGGCAACATTTTTGCAGTCTATACCAAGTGAGGAAAAGGTAATCGTTAGAACAGTCAATCTAAGATTGCTCGTCAGTTGCTGGGAGTGAAGATTTATTGGATTTTCTTTAAGCACATGTCAAGATTCTGATCAATGAGATGCAATGGCAGAAGATGCTGCTTGAAGTCGTCCACAAATCATTCAAGATCCTGCCTACATTACTGAGTGCTGGAACAGCGTACTGAAAAGGTTGAAACTGCCTCTTGGGGGTTTGGACTAGGTGCTCGGGAGCCTCACACCAACATGCAAGAGTTGTTGCAGCTGTTAAACACGATACCTTAACCAAGAGGAAACAAACGATCATGGACTTTTTGAAGAAGTACATGCGTAACTGCTCAGCCAACCGCCTAAAGCAATTTCTCAAATTTTTGCACAGGTAACATCAATGTTGAGCAATAATAATTAAGTAGCCAACCTCCTAGCATGTGTTTGTTTGATATTGCTTCTATGGAGGTTAAATGTAATTTAGTGTTTCTTTGTTCTGTTATGTCTTACAAGGACATCTGCACCTGTATAAGAAAGTGTCTTCAGCCATTCACATACGCTTTGTTGAGCCCAAGAGTGACTTAGTGAGAAGCCCCCAAACACACACCTGCGGATGTGTTTTGGAGATCACCTACACATCATTCCTTAAGATGCCAGAGGAATTCACACAGGTCCTGGATTCCAAGGTGTGGGTGATGGACATAATTTAAATATAAGTGAGACATTTTCTCACACACACAATGAACTTGCTCAAATCAATCATGTAGCATTAGTGGTTGAATTGGCAAAAATTAGTAGGGAGGATGATGGTTACGTTATTGGGGAGCAGTATACATGTATGTCTTGTTCCACCAGGCTACCTCAACCCCCCCACCACCACCACCACCATCAAAAATTATGTTGGCAACACATTCAACAACTACATTCACAATGTTATGTTTTACCCTGTCTAACTTTCTTAAACAGGTGCATATGTCCTTGTGTTGAGACTAAGAGTAACTTTGGAAGAAGCCCCCAGACTGCTGAAGGACACACACATGCTGTACACAGTGTCCTCATTGTTGTCCTCATCCTGGACTTTTCTTTAAAAAACACTGACATTGTTAGAATTTTGATATCACAAAACACAAGCAGAATTTGTTATAAGCAGTTTTTGGGAGTATATGTTTTTTTCCTCACTGCCCCTTCACCCAATATGCCCATCAAAGCTACACCTAAACAATAGCAAAACTATTTTCACACATATAATAATAAATACATTAAATATATTAAATTGAGAATACTCTGATGGGTGACAATATTACCGATTGTGACTGAAAAGGCTGAAGATCGGCGTGTAATTTCGGTCTACATGGAGTCAGGAAGCATCTTCTGTTTTAGTTTTCTTAACAAAAATTCAACTTTATTAAATCATAATTTCAAATCGCATACAGCCCAGATGTTTAGATTTTTATGGACCATCTGAAAGAAGAGACTGAGGTTTCTTGCGCATCTACATTTGCCAAACCACTATCAATAATTAGCGTAAGGGCTCTGTTTTCACTTATTTTTAAAGCCGCGGTTCCACAGTGCGCACTCTCCCCACTCGGGAGTAGCCTAGTTTGTAAAAACTCCATGCGTTTGAGTCCAAAGTTTGAGTTTACATGTTCATGAAATAAAAGGGTCATTGATAACAAAAGTCAACATTGCTTATATTTTGTCTGAAAATGTAAAAGTATACTGTTACTTAAAGGCACAATTCCTATCCATTAATTCTCAAATAATGACTTGTAAATACCTAGTATATGAGTGGTAGAGGGAGAATGAAATAGGCCTACAGTCTCAGTCAAGCATACCACCATGGACTCTCAGGGGTTTAAAAGTACTAACAGCTCTTCCCTTAGCGTGAGGTAGAGGTCAAGGGCCATGTGTGCATCCGCATTAACAGCAAGATTGTTCTCTGCCATAATGTAGGCGCACAGGGTGTACACATCCTCATCACAAGCTATGTCAAGTGCCAAAGTAAGGGAAAAAATATAGGTACGTTTGAGAAGCCCCATGAACTCCAAGATGTGCCCATTTAAAACAGCAGATACGTATTGATTCAGCACCATGAACAGTGGCACAAATCAATGCCAAATAAACATAGGAGGGCTACCTCTGTGATTTCAGCACCACCATTTGCTGGACAGCGACCCATCAAATATAAATATATTGATCGTGTACAGATATTTGCAGATGCAGCGAAATGCTTGTGTTTGTAGCTCCAACAGTGCAGTAATACCTAGCAATACACACAAATAAAAATATTAAGAAAGGGGCACCGGGGGCAATGCCTCCGCTCAACTCAGAGCTCATGAGAAGACTAAACCTGTGGCTCGTTGGGGTTTGCATTGCTAGTGTGTTGGCATGTGGAAGGCTTCATAGGCGAGACTGCTATGTTTCCAATGTTATTGTTCCCATTCCCCTGAACTTTAGAATTGTAAAATAGTGAATACACTTAAAGATTATTGCAACTACTGCTCCAGATCTTTTGGTTTCCGCTACAGGCCATAGATAATACACTGATAGGCCTATATGACTGGGGGTCTATTGATTGAAGTTGGACACTTGTCTGCTCCAAACAGCATGCAATTCAATTGCAATTAGAAATGGGAAGTCATAGGGAAATAAAACAGATTATTAAGAGTTACATTCTGTCCTCGTTTTCGGATACGCTACAAAATATGCTTGTAATTGCAGTATTGGTCAGGTACATGGACACGGAAGTAGAAAGTTCATTCACATAGCCAAGTGCAGTACAGTGTGGCACACACCTGTACGAAGCCCAGGAAACAGAACAGCATTAGGTTCTTGTCCAAGAAGTCCCTGTCAAAATCACCTTCATCTTTCAGTCTATGGAGGTGCTCAAGCCAAAAATCAACACTCTTTATGCAGAAACCCCCACCAGTTTAAGATTATCTGATTGCTGGTGGATCGACGGTATGTGAAGCTTCTCTCACCCCCATATGCATCATCATTGCGTCGTAGGTACCGTTGCATGTCCCGGACACGACTGTTCTCTGTCCCCATGTCTGCTCTTACAATGCGGGCACAGCC